TGATTTTTTCTTTATTTCTGCCATTTTTCATATGGTCAAACCTATTTGTTGAGTGAAAGTAATTCTTTGCGTCTTAAATACACGAATAACTAATTTTCGCTTGCAATGCATGCTATGTTAACATTTCCCGAATATAGATCGCAAATGGCAGCTTTGTATAGCATTCGTTGCGATCACGCTGACAATGGAACGCTTCCATGTCGTCAGAATGACATATGATATAAGAATCTGTATTCATGGATTTTTATGAATTTTACAAATGTCGTATCGGAAATTCGAGCTCAAATTACTAACGCCGCATTCCCAATATTGCTGCGCTCTTCGCCTCACGACAGTAGCATTTTCTGTACTTAAGGCCCGTATCGTCAGTCGTCCCTACAATTGTAGGGCACGTTTATGGCCTCCTTGATTGTCATACTCCTTTCTCTCCTTCAAAAATCTCTAGATTACACTTGTCCCGTGTCAGCGTCAGCGCTCTCCTATTGTAAAGATATGTTTTCTTTTTAAATTCTAGGAAATTTCAGGCTGTTAAAACTTGATACAGCTCAAAAGCAAGCACAATTTGATGCAAATAGATGTTTGTGACAGAACCTCAAAATAGAGCGCTGACACGGAGAAGTAGAAAACTATGACAATCAAGGAGGCCATAAAGGCGCCCTACAATTGTAGGGACGACTGACGATGCAGGCCTTAGTCATATATAACTAGAGTAGTTTGCTCCGCACCCAGGCTAAAATACAGGTACGGCAAATTAGTAATGAGTTTATCAAAATAAGACAGCACAAAGTGCCATCTATTACCCTTCACAACAAAGAAATTAATAATGATAGATACGAACATCTGCGGGATTAATAGCAACACTAATACACACAACTATCCTCAGTCTAATCATCCTGACATCATTTTCTTGGGAGAGACCTAAGAGAACGGCGGAGTTGGGGCTTTTATCCGCAGCAGACCTGTCTGCTCCAGAGACGTTTCTTTGGAATCAGGCCAGAAGGTCATTCTGTGGCGCCGCCTCAACTCCAGAACATCCCCGAAATGTATTTGCTGCCTATATCACTCTATCTTGGACCATACCTCCCACGCATTTCGTCACAATTCCGCTGAATCTCTTCCTGACCACACATCCTTTCCCTTATAGCGCTACTGTCCTGACTCCTTTGGGTAACTAAACCATGGTTCAGCGGCTGCTTCAACGAATTATGCGACACTGCTCGTTGATAGAAGATCAAGGTCCACATAACCTTCTTACGAAACCCCACTGCAGAAAACAGAGAAGCCCATGTCGCGTCCAGAAACAAATATAACGTATCGGTTCTCAATGCCAAGTACGATATAAAAGTTAGGCACAGGGTAATGTCGTAACGCAATGGCAGTCGGTCTTTCTGGACGCTGGCCAATTAGATTGAAGGGAACTTCTCAAAGAGTAACCTTCCACCGCTTACGTGCCCAGATGCAATGATTGTAACCGACTCGTAGGCTAAGGCAGAAGTGCTTTGCTGCCATCTCCACCATGGACGTAATTTATAGACATAAGACCGTAAGACGGGTGCTCTTGTCTCTCGACATCAACCATGATTCTGGTCCGGATTTGATTCCTGCCGTTATATTAGAGATGTCCAGTGGAGCTTGATCTTATTTCGCGTCTCTCCTAGATATCTTACGCACCGGGCAGTTTCCCAGAAAACCGGAGACTTGCCTATCTTAAAAAAAGATCTAAGATCGACCCTTACAACTATAGGCCTATAGCTCTGCTTTATGTTATAAGTAAAGTGATGGAGATGGGCATAAATCGGGAGCTTTTGGGGAACGTTGGTTTGCGACAAGCTGTATGGTATCGGCGATCCCCGAGGCATGCTTGGCAGGGTGCGGTTATGAAAACGTCCATCTTATGGCCTCCCAGAGAAGCTTTGCAGATGGGTGGCTGATTTTCTCCATAGCTGCAAGATATCCGTTGGAATTGACCGGTTTTCCTCTTTATTCCACTTGGGGTCGGGCTTGGCTCCGACATTGTTCCTCTTCATATCAATGACCAGCTTTCCTGTACAATCAATCCGATCCACAGTTTGCACTCTACATGGATGAATACAGATATACATGCCGATCTCTGCCGGTAAGCTGGAGAAGATAATACGCTGACTAGAGTCATGTAGGTTATTACTGCTTGGGGATGCAATAATCTGGTGCAGTTTAATGGTTCCACAACACAGTACTATACCTTGTCTAACGAGAAGCACTATAGCGCCCGTCCGGTTTCGATGGAGGCCCAAGGTCTAGCAAAGAGCCGTTCATTTCGGCTGGTCGGGATGTAAATCACCGAGCACTTGATCTAGCACGAGCACTTCTCGTCAATAGCGGTAGCTGCGGGGGAAAAACCAGGCTATTCGTTTACGGCTAAGAAGTACATTTCTCCGCATGACGTCCTTAATGTACAAGGCCCAGATAACACCTAGTCTCGCTCATACGTTTGGGGTTTGCTGCCGCCCCAACATTATCCATCTCGTTGCTGTTCAGAGAAGGGCTGTCCCACGAATCGATTACTCTTCTCTAATGGACAGTCTCGGGACCCTTTCGCATCTACGGTCTGTCAGTGATCTAGCTCTCTTCTACCGCTATGTCAAGGGGCTTTGCTCCCCAGAGCTCTCCTCCATGTTGCCGCTATGCGATGTGCCTGCCAGATAGACCCACCTGACTTCGGCCTCCCTTTCCGATTGTATCGAACATCTTACATTCAGAACTGGCAGATACGACTGCTCTTTTGTCCCAAGGGTTTCGAGTTTGTGGAATAATCTACCCCAGGAGACTTTTGCCAGTCCTGCTTACCTTAGGCAGTTCAAAAATCGGATTAAGAAGGTTTCTTTAAGCTCCTCACAGTAGCGGCGGTGACCTATTTAGGCTTCTGCCTGCGCGGCTGCTTCGTTATAAAAAAGGATCGACCACCGTTCGTTGACCTAGCTGAAACCAAGCCTGAGCCATATTATTTTCATATATATCTCGGATTTAGAAACAGAGGTAAAATCATGCAGCATACAATTTTTTGCAGACGATACTCAAATTTTCTATTCATTTTAATGACTTGGAAACAGCAACTAATAAAATTAATCAAGATCGTGCCCAAATTGAAAAGTTCAGTAGTGGTCATAATCTTCTTTTGAACCCTTTCAAGACAAATATGTTGGTATAAGCAAATAGAACAAAAAATAATACTTTAAAAAAGGACATAGATATACATTTAAAAGGTAATAAATTAGTTCCTGTGGATCATTCCAAGAACCTAGGTATTATAGTGGATGATGACTTAAAATTTGTTGTACCCGTAGACTGTCTAATTTCTCAGTGCTATGCTATTCTCAGAGTTTTATTTGCAAATAAGGCTATATTACATAAATCTGCGAGAAAGTAATTGTGTGAATCTTTCTTGTTTTCAAAGATATCGTATTGCTTAGTTGTTTACTATACCTATTTAGATATTATATCAAGAAATCATATTCAAAGTATTATGAATACATGTTGCAGACTTGTAAATGGCCGCAGAAAGTATGATCATATATCGAATGCCATTAATCAACTCAAACGGATGAAAATTGATAAAATGTATAAGTACCAGCTCCTAAATCTGACTCATAAGGTTCTTTATTCAAGAACACCGTCATATTTAGTAAACAAATTCATACGTAGAGGGAATATGCATGGCATTAATATTAGATATAGAAAGACTTTTTCAATTCCACGCCACAGCACATCTCTATTTCAGAATACATATGTTTACAATGCGATCAAATCATATAATTCTTTAGACCGCAGTTTAAAAGAAACCAATCCATTACCCAAATTCAAGAAAAAAGTGAAAGAAGTTCTACTTGATCAGCAGCGAAATCTGTTGTAACCCATAAGTGGCCTCATATTTTCCTTATGCCTTAGATTATACTTTATTCTGTCGTTATTGTATACAGGTATTAATTTTCAACAAATTCTGTTTTTTACATCTCGTATTATGAAGGGGGTTAGATGGTAGAAAAGATATATTATCTAAATCTCGCCTCCTGTAAGAATATTACAAATAAAAGACGTTAATTATTATTATTATTATTATATTGGTGAGCTGCCAAATAGCACGAAACAGTTGTTCATGGTCGGTTGTTTGTGGACGGACGAATGAACCTATATTACTTTGTTATATGAAGAAGGTTTCTATCTTAGCAATAAAGTCGATTATCATTATTATTATTATCATTATTATTATTATTATTATTATTATTATTAAAAGTAAGGTTCAAATATCTCAAAAATGATTAGGCTTGGGTACAGATAGGCACCGACACCTTTATAGTAGTTATAGGTGGAGGTGGTATTGGATATTATAATATACATGAAATATATCTAGCATCTTGTGCAGAATGTAAAAATTCCCATTTGAAAAAGGCAAGTTTGTGTCTACTTTAGTGCTTCCAGAAGTGCTGCAGTCTTAAAATATTACTGTAGCTGAACTGTTGCCATCAATTATAACATAACCTCAAGCTTTCGTAATTGCCCACACCACCTTTTAGACTGATTATTGCAGTTTTTATATCTTCGTGGCATAGCTTATAACAAAGTGATTGGCTACTCATATTGTTTAGAGAAATAGGGTCAATACACAACTAATAATATACATTCATGAAGTCTTATTTTAAACATTTGTGTTTCGTTTATATCTATTTTTCTGGGAACATATTTTTTTAGAAGATAGTTATGCATACGATTTTGTTTTTAGTATCTCTATGGGCATTTTCATTTCTTCTCTCTGGAAAACTCAGCCTGGGAAATTAGGCTGGTGGCTGGTTGAGGTAAAACTTGGTAAGGAATGCCTTTTCCAAAGTAAACTTCTGTATTTGGCTGAAGATGTTCAAACCTGCAGAAGTGCATATACCATAGAATATTTGGAGACTAGCAACTAGCTTCAAATTTGATTAGAGTTCTAATCGTTTTGTTCACTAATATTCTTCATGGATCCACAGGAAGAATTTGTGGAGAAGCCTCAACAGACTTCTCCTCTACCACTGATAGCCGTCACACACCCATCCAAATTGATGGAGTCGCCTGAAGTGAGGAAAAATAGGTTCAAATCGCAGAAGAAGACCAGGAAAAGATTACCTTCAGCCACAGTTACATGTAACAATTACATCAAGCCAATTTCTAATGACTTACCACAGGATCTCAGGGTGCGGCATACTCCCACAGATTTTGATAATAAGGTGAATTATTTATCTAAGCCATGTATTTTACTGAGTGTGGTTGAAGTTTTTTCTTACTTCTTTGGTATGTATGTATGTCTCAATTTTTGTTGTTGTTATACATATACGTCCCCAGCCGCAGTAATTCTACGCACCTTTAAGACATATTTCATTCGTCATAAATTTCCCCGTACATTTGTCCTTAAAACAAAATATTTTCGACCCTCTCGTGTCGACCATACGCTTCGCGGTTAGCTCGATGCATGCGTGTAGCAGTCGGCATCCGCTGCTCGAATGGATATGGACCGTCGATCGTGATTTGCGCCATATTTTTTTCAGGGGAGGGCCAACAATCGGCAGGAGATAACTTTGTGTGAAAGCATGTTTGCCTACACAACTTTTTGAAGATCGAGTGGTAGTATATTTTCTCAGGGAGCCAAATCCTAAACAGCCCCAAAATTGTATAGAAAAGCATGCTAAATAAGCAAACTCTAATTGTATCTTGTTTGACTAACTTTAAATTTGTTGTTATACGCGTGTTCATAGCTAACCTTTTTCTCAGAACGGCCATTGGTGCCGAACATAATTCCTTTATGATCTGATGATAGCGTGGCGTAGGAAGTGCAGAGTCAACCTCCTTGACTCCAATTTTCACTTCCCACACATACCCGAAGGATAATTTCTGAGTTTCAGTTGGTACCTTTTTTTATAATGTTTGTATCATGAAAATGGCATTTATTTATGTCGGAGTGTCTACTTGCTGGCATTTCTATAACCGCGTAACCTCGGAAATAGCTCCATCGAATTTAATGTTTGGAACTGGATATTCTCTGGTTTTATTACTCATATTAGTTAATGCTACTTCAATTTTGATCATTCACTAACTTCATTTTCACGGGCTCCTGATAATATTTGGGTGTGGTTATTAATTTGGGAGAGAGTCAACAATTGAAAAATCTACAGTTTAAGCATTTTCTCATACATCTTAAGACATTGTGAGGCTTACTTTTGTGCTGTGCTTATCAAAATAATGCTCAAGGAGGATCTTGTGCCAAGAATTTTCAATATATTTGACACCGATATTGATTCGGTTATGTAGTTATGTAATTTAAAACGATGGCAAAAAATGACCGGAATGTAGCTTGTATAGAATTGACACTTTTGGGATGAAACTAACTTAAATTTCTATTCAGGTAAAAGACAGAATTCCATCCGCGAAGCCCGAGTCTGCAAAACCAGGAGAAAACTGCAAGTCGACAAACCCGCCAGAGGAACCTAAAACTCCCTCATTCTTCAAACCCTTTGGTGGTATTCTTCCCTCTCCTACATTGCTCGTTCCTTATCCTATCATCATACCTTTGCCTATACCCATACCTATCCCCATACCAATCCCTCTCAAAGACCCTAACAAAGAGACTGCGGAGGTGTCCCTCCAAACCGAGGTGCTAGACGAAGACGCAACTAGTCAAACTGAGATAGATGTCGTAGGATTAGATGAGAAAGAAGACGAGGAGGTCAAAAGGATAAGTACAAGACATGTGAGGAAACGGAAGAGGCTGTATGAGCCAAAGATTGGGATTAGGAAGAAGACTATAGCCTAAGACAGGCGTGTAATTTCAGTGGACGATTTTTGATGGATGAGAGTGAACGACTGATCAACCAAATATAGAAGAAACAAACTTTGAACTGGATAGTAGGATCTTTACATCGACAGTTAAGGAAAGAAAAACAAAGCCTGTAAAAAATGCTTGCAAGTTGTAATGTTCAAAATAAAACGAAAAACTGTAGAAAAGTCTCTTACAATACTTTTCCGAAGGGGTTGAAAATGTTGATACTCCTACCTATCAAAAATTGAGGCTGAAAACGCTGCTTCACGCGTTCTAACCGAATGTTGAGAACTGAAATATAAAAGACTTGTGTGGAACCAATATGAATGAATAATAGTCAGACAACAAACCTGATGCAGTTCTGAATGATCAGTTTTGAAATGATTTTGGTACTTTACAAATGTAATTTATACATAAACTACATGCAGATCGTTAAATATTTTTGTCATAAAAGAAAATACTTTGCGTGACTAGACAGGCTCCAGTAAGTCACTAACATAAGATAGCTAGTTCAACTAGCCGTTCAATTAATGGCAAAGCCTCTTTATTAAACAGCGCAATTCAATGAAGGGCGTGAATGACATATTTAGTCTAATAAAACAGGCCATTCATAATAGGGCAATCATGTAACAATAAAATATAAAATATCTGATGTTAAAAAATGTTTAGTTGATTAATTTAAATTATGGCAAATTTTTATATCATAATTAGGTGATCCTAATAAAAAAGAACACCTGTAAGCAATAAAAGTATTCTTTGTCAACGCAATTTTCGCAGGCAGATGTGCCTTCATAACTCCTCTACTCTGGAATATTTTTAGTCTGATTCGTATGTATTTTTCCTAAATATACCAAAAAGTATCAAACGCGACGTTTCTGCATTTGTCGAGTAGGATATAGTCATTAAACAAAATATGGTTATTAGAACATGTATTTGAGTAGTTTTTCACTGGATTCATAACATCATATAGTATCTTGTTGCGATTCCAGGTGAGTCCTGAAATAAAGTGAATTTTGTTATAGTGTTCTAAAAGTATTTATCCTGTGACATTGTTCGCTGATAATCACACGGATTTTTTGTTGAAGTGATGCACAATGCACAATATGATGGACGTTACCTCAGACCTTGAATCCTATTATAGCATTGCTAATATTACATATTTGTTGTTTAAAATTTCTCGTACTTTTTCTGGCATTATGTACTCGTAGAGGTCCCTGATCGAAAAACGAAAAATGTCCCTAAGATTTCCTTGTAGGACCGAACTGTATTTTGTAGTCGGTGGATCAATCATAAACAAGATATACGAGAACGCGCTGTATGAAAATTATACTTATTTAAAAACAGCAACAATGTTTCTTCAAGGATCCTGTCGTCTGATATCAGTTTTACTATCGTGAATTTCTCTTTTTTCGACATTGAAGCAAGATGGCTGTAACAATGGTCTTGCTAAAATTTTTTTTAGTATAATTGTAGACACCATTCTTGGCAGTTACGTCATCAAGGCCGTATGAAATAAGTAAACAGATCGAGTCTCCGTACCATGGGCGGATCTTAATTTTCCTAACTGAGGGAAACCGATTCAGAGTTATTTACTAAACGTCATTCTCAAAAATCTTCTAATCTAGTACATAAACATGTGACACGTTTTTAAAGTTGAAATAAAAAATATATGCGGAATTTATAATATAATACAAAATACATTTATTTTCCAACTTGAAGGAACATTTAACATTGGATGTGGATATGTGACGAGCTTATGAGTGCTCAATTATTTCTGTAGTGCAATGCGACTGAATAAATTACTGCCAAACAACAAATACATTTTGATGATGATGCTCTTAAACTCGAGCTTTCAAAAAAGGTGAATTCTTTAATTCACCGGTTGATTCCACCACTGATGGATGCGGTGCTTATGGTTGACACTGTTGACAGCTTTGTATGGTGACGGCAGCAACCGGTTGAATTAAAAGGACGGATGTCTGGTCCACCGGTGGCACCGGTTGCTCAACCGGTGAATTAAAAAATACACCAATATATGTCGCCTTGATAAACGTCAAGCTTGTAATCCGAAGGTTTATTAAGGCGACATAGACTTAAAAGCTTGAGCTTAAAAGCGTCATCATCAAAATGTATCTTTTTGTCTTGCAGCCATTGCTTCAATTGCATTTTACTCCAACTGGGATTGGGCAGTTTTTCTGTTAAGGCATTATCAACGATTGCTAAAGATAGCTCTCGTAACGCTGGTATCAGCTTCTCACATACCCATTTTTGAAAGATTGTCCATGGAATCGTGGTAGTCAGGACTTTTTGATTTTGTAGCAAATAATAATGCAGTATCTCTCAAAAAACCGTTTTTGCTCCCAGCATGGAGAACAACATACCGCTTGCCGGTACCTGGATGGCCGCTTTCCAAACTCTTTACGTTTTTATCTTCCCAAACGACACTTCTCGTTTCATCTGAGAAAACGCATTGGAGAGGGTTCGTACTATTCAGGTTACTCCGCAAGTTTTCAATAGACGCCTTAAACTTGAATCCGAGGCGTTGTATATGTACCTTTTTTAAACTGCTTAAATCTAGTTACAAAATCTACTGTGAAAACATGATACTAGTCTGACAATTTGAATGCAGAACGAGTTATTTAATTGTACTGCCTGAAAATGTGTTTCCCCACATTTGAAGTATTAAAGTATCCAAATACAAACTACTGATGTACTTAGTCAATATTCTAGCTCTGTGACTGATAAGGTGCAATTTCAGGAATATTATTGTGTTATTATTTTATAAAGTACTGAGTTATTTATTTTGAACTTAACCCATAACTTATTATATACAATAAATCGAATAACTACATTGTGTTTCATTTGATATCATATGATATCATATTTATGGTAGGTGGCCTAGGTGTCTGCTGGTCAGAATAATAGGAATTCGTAAACATTTTATCAGAAATGGGTGTCCAAAGATATCTGTGATTCAGATTTATTTTATGGGTATGGACGTGCACCCTTAGGTATCACTATACTCGACATCTATGTTCATATTTATTATTTTATGACAGGGAAAGCATATTTAAGATTGTTATAAATGATGTCATCGTCAAGAGTCGACCGATTTCGAAACAGAGCTCTAAGCCCTTTTTGAAAATAACGCGCTGGCTCTCAATTTTGAGCGTTCTTGGCGACAAACATATCAGTTAATAACAATACACAAAAAACCACAAAAATAGGGACTTTTATACTCTTCAGAGAAAAACGATCGTGTATTTGTTTTTTATACAGGGTGGATCACCTAGAAACTTAAAATGTGAGGAGTATAGCTGATAAACCATTCGAGTAAGAGAAACTAACTGTTTTCATTTGAGAATTGTCCTACGGGTCCAAATCTAAGATTATTTTTATTGTAAGGGATATTTCACTTAGGTCTATTTACTTCTTGTTTTACTTAAAGCCTGCTTTAAAGTTTAGACTTGCTAATCGTTAATTTCCTTTTGCGTTTTGGAGTCCATAAGTCCATACACGCTCAGGCGCCTTGATGCGTGTGTTAATTGACAGGCTCCCAATTACCGCAGTGAGTTGTTTTTTTTCGAATTGTAGAGGGTTGAGCTAGATTGTAAAAGTGCTATACAAAGTGTACTACGTCACTACGGCCCTAAGATGCGTTAAAATTTAGAAAGACGATGAATTGCCTAAATAGGATTTAATGCATTTAATTTTTGCCTTTTGTACATGATATCATCACAACACTTGTTCAAAATGTCTTCCTCCAGCCTGAATACGCCGATTTAAACGTCGCATACGATTTCGGCGGACTTGACTAAAATTTTGATACTCGTTTTGAATGATTTCAAATGCTGCTGTAATTCGTCCAATTAAGTCTTGCTCTGTTTCTACTGGAGTTTCGTAAACCAAAGACTTTACATGTCCCCCCAAGAACGGTGTATTCAGGTTGGAGGAAGACATTTTGAACAATTGTTGTGATGATATCACGTACAAAGGGCACAAATTAAATGCATTAAATCCTATTTAGGCAATTCATCGTCTTTCTAAATTTTAACGCGTTGTAGGGCCGCAGTGACGCGGGTCCCTATACTCAAATGTTTTCTACTGTTACACTGAATAACCCCTACATGTTTGATCCCATAGTTCTGAAACACCCTGTATAGTTTCTTACAGTCTACAATGCTGCGCCTACAACACACACGACAATCTTCACTCGCAAATTGGTAAAAATAAATAAAATGATTTTTAATAAAATTATAGCATTTACCTTCCAGTCCTGTAACTTTCTTTTGCTTAAGGGGAGTCAGTGTAGATAAGCCAGACGAGGCTAATTAGACAAATAGGCAATTTGAAGTTAGAAAAAGTCTAAACTCTGGACTGCAAGAGTACATTCTTCTTTTGTTACTAACAGAAATCTTGTACGGTCTTTTCCAAGAGTATCCATTACGGTAAAATGACAGCTAATTATTTAGTAATATTTCACAATTTCTCATATCCCCAAAACACTTAATTCTGACGCATCCGTCAATGCCAGGCAGACGGCATATTTAGTTTTGATTTTTTTGTACACTACATATTCATTTTGTACTTGCAAAAAGTTTTTTTATTTATTTGCATACAAAAAACAAGTTTTGCTAGATTTACACCCGATTCATTATTGCCAACGTTGTAGACTAACACAAAAATGTCTTCTGATCTTGCTGATCAGCTGTTCCCCTCAGTAGATGTCAAAGCGTGATGGATACTCGTGAAATAGGGTATAATTTCGGCGTAGGGCTCTAAAAGTTAAATAGCGATGGGATGTCATGAAGGTCTTGAGAATAACTTCTTGTTTTTATAAAGTTGTAATCGCACCTTTCCAGGGTGCTACGGCAGAGAGTAAATACACCGACGATTGGTCAAATAAGAAATTTGAATTTGAAGTTAGAAGGTATGTGATAATTAACAGGTTTTGAGAGTAACTTCTGTTCTCAAAAGGGAATGTTTGCAATTCATTCTTATCCAACTTCAAATTGCTCAAATGAGCGTCTTCAGTCGTTTCTATATAGCCTCTCTTAACTCACTTTATGATGATATCCCTTTTTATTATTTACGATCCGATCCATAACAACTGAGATAATCGTTAGAAACAACATATTTGTTTGAATAAGCTCAAATGTCTAATTTGTGTGGAATATGTGGTTTTAGGCTCAGCTGAAGCACTCTTTTAGATTAAAGCAAAATAGTCTGGACAATATATCTGATGAGAAAAATATTTTGATTCGGATCTTGCGCATAATCGCTTTCAAAAAGTCAAGTTGGTAGGCTCAAACTTGCGTCAATTCTTTTTTGGACAATTTTTTTATTCAAATTCCAAAAAATGTTTTTTTCTTCTCCGACCAGTGCCAGTGCTTTTGGGACATACTGAACAAAAAAGGCGCTCTAGAACTCTTCTTCGTAGCTTATTCTTTCCGAGTCATAAGCGTTATCATATTTGGAAAAGTGCGAAATATGCCATCTTCGACCCAGAAAAACAATATGAAGAAACAAAAATTTTAATGATGTCAGTGCTCACAAATATTCGTCAAACATCCATTAATAAAATCCCAAGCATCTGAGGAGGTATTATTATTGTAAACCTCTGGTTTTTAATTGATAACCAAGCGTGCGCTCAGAGTGTATGCTCTGCGTGAGTCCGAGAGAGCTGCAATACGTCGTCAAATGCCTTGGGATTTTGTTAATATAGGAATATTGAGAACATTAAAATTTTGGCTTCTTCATGTTGTTTTTCCGAGTCGAAAATGGCAAATTTTGCACTTTTTTACGTACCTATTGTATCGCTTATATCTCTACAACTATCATCTTCAGAGAACAGTACTTATTTACCGCTTTGGTTCAGAATGTCCCAAAAAACCTAAACACCCCTTGATCTTAGCGAAAAAAAGAACAATTCTTGGAAATTGTTTAAAAATTGCTGACGCAAATTTGGGTTGGCGACATGCAAATTCGTTGAAAGGAGCCCCTTTCGAATCAGATTATGTAAAAAATCCGAATCTGATTTTTTTCCTATCAGATGGGAAGATACTGCCCGGAATAAAAAACCAGACTGAGATAGGTATACTTTCTGCTCCAGAAATATTGGCACTCTGTAATATGTATGTGAATAATCGCCTCAAATCTTTCTAGAACAAAAAGATGGCGCTATTAGTATTTACTATATCCTAGAGATGGCGTTACTTCTCGTGAGTATGACTGATAGAAAGTGAATTGCGTTATCTTTAGTTGGGCCATGAAATGACTAACATACAAAAATATGATAGAAACTAGAAACTTTTGTATTGAGATTCAATTGGAAAGTCCTGTATTTCGCACACTAGATGTGGATTCCAAGGTAGACGACAGTATGTACCACCCCCCATTTAATGTGCCACCTGTTAGTTGATTGGTTGTTTCACCGAACCAAAAAGCGTTTTTCCCATACACTAGCAAATGCCATCTATAATATAGCGGCTGTGAACCACCTCCGGCAAATTATTCGATAATAGAAATTATTGATTTTCTATTGAGCTTAGATGACTTACTAGCAGATAGCGGGCTGACTGCGTGTGAAGTTTTCTTGCTGCTGGTTCCATTTCACAGATGCCGCAACATGTTTTAAACAGTTGAGCTGAGATTGATAGGGGAAAGAGGGGGGGAGGGGTGGCGTAGGTGTAATAGATAAGTCTGGGAAAATAATCTCCAGTTTTTCAATGAAAAGACTAGGAGTGATCGATTATTTCGTGAGGCGTGACCATTACATGAGATGCGCAAAGCGGCTATATTTTTGCAGTTCGAATATTCAAAATTCAGGCATTTCTGAAAAAATGTCACTACTCCGATCGCATGAAATATTCTTCAAATATTTATTCAATAGTCAATAATAGTTTTATCTTACTTAAGTATTTGTTATCTTAAACAAATATTTAACAAATATTCGGAATATAATATTTTTATTAAATATTTATTCAATATCTTTTAAATATTTTAAATACAATATTTATTTTATAAAATTCATCAAATATTTACTTTTCAAGCAACGGAAAATATTAAAACTCCATTATTCAGAAAATCAATAGGTGGTCCATTTTTAAGAACATTTGAAACTTAGTCACAGGATCAAGTTGTGCCCATAGACATTTTTCATCAAGATATCTAAAATAACATACCAAATTTTCTTAAAAAATAACCAAACCTCGAACTCTCATAGGAAGAAAATGTGTCCTTTTAGGTGCATTATAGAGCTGCTTTTCATTGACCCACTTGAGCTACTCGGAGTAACTCAGCAGTGCTCAGCATCAATATAGTTCCACTGCATTTTATATTTCCATAAATAAACTTTCTAGAGTAGTTCGAGAGAATATCTCTCTCAAACAAAAGAACATTGGATAACAGCTTATTTATTCAACAATACTTCACATTTACTATTTTTTTTTTGAGAGGAGTGGATTTGCAAGATGCAGAAGGGGCTTAGAGTGTTTCTTAATGGTATTTTTCTAGCAAACTAAACCATTAAGTCTAGCATGAATTTTCTTTATAAACCCAGTCTTATAGAAGCATTCCTACAGAGTTCGCTATAAGCAATAAAGAATTTTCTATCTACGCTAAAAATATGTATCAGATTATTACTTGAAAATCTGTTGCTTCATATATTTCCTAAATACATATTTACGAAAAATATTAGATATTTCATCAAAATATAAAATTGATTTTTAAAAATCTTTCCTCATATATATTTTCTAGCATATCGCAAAAGTATATGAATTATACAGGGTGTTCCTTAATGATATGCGAATATTTAAGGGTGTGAATCTACATGAAAAAT